CACAGTTTGTTGATCCATTCGTGGATCGATGGGCACTTGGGCTTCTTCCATGACCTGGCAATTATGAATTGGGCTGCAATAAACATTCTGTTACAAATATCTTTGTTGTAATGCAACTTTTGGTCATCTGCGAATATACCTAATAAAGGAATTGCAGGGTCAAAGGGCAGGTCTATTTTTATTTCTCTAAGTGTTCTCCAGATGTCTTTCCAAAAGGAATGTATTAGTTTACATTCTCACCAGCAGTGTAGGAGATAATTTTTTTTTTGAAACAGAGTCTCACTTTTCTTCTTTCATAGGGCGCTGTGCCGTCATAGCTCACAACAACCCCCAGCTCTTGGGCTCAAACAATTCTCTTGCCTCAGCCACCCAATTAACTGGGACTACAGCTGCCTATTATAACACCTGGTTATTTTCAGAGAAAAGTTTTGCTCTGGCTCAGGCTGATCTCAAATGTGTGAGCTCAGGGAATCCATCTGCCATGGCCTCCCAAATGCTGGGGTTGTAGGTGTGAGCCATTGCACTGGTCTAAGGAGTTTCTTTTAAAAGACATTGGTGTCACTCTGTTGCTCAGGCTGGAGTGTAGTGTAGTGTAGCTCAGTGTAGTGTCCTTCATGCAGCCTTGAACTTTTAGATGTGAATAGAAACTTGCCCTTTCTCCAGGAAGTTCAATGAAAGATCCACTTACATTTAAAGCAGATTAGTAAGAGAAAATATTTCTTTACCATGCACCTGGGAAGAAAGTACAGTGTAATAAGATGATTTTTCCAATAGAGTGGAGATATTTTTGTCCCTGCCACAGGAGGGAGGGGGAAATTGAGGCTCTAGGCTAATAAATGTTTGCTAGGAGGATGAATGGATGTGGGAAATAGACTGATTTGTGAATGAACCTGAGTGACAGGTCTTCATGACTTAAATGACCTTGGCGAGGTCTGCTTACATTCCTGACCCTGCAATATGTTGAGATGTCAGGAAGGGGGAAGGGAGGTGAGTTTTCCCCTTTGATGCTCCAGTCAGGTCGGTCCAGCTTACGCAGACAGAGGGAAGGCCTCTTCCCATGTTTCTTGACCTTGAATGGCCTGGCAACTTAACAAGGGGAGCAGGTGAGCTACCCCAAGTTGCAGAGGCCTGACTGTGAGCCATTCATAACATCTGGGGGTTTGAAAATTGTTGACATCATGAGGGCTGTTGTCAGCACCATCTAAGAAGTGTGACAGTGCCATCTGTGGAATCAAACCACAGGGTTTGGCCACAGTATTGCTCTACTATGTGACCCAGGAAAGACCCAGCATCGTCCCTGTTTTCAGTGCAGAGGGGAGCATTCCTTTCTAGTGACTTTACCTGAGCCGAAGATAGTTATTGAGCTGCCATGGAGGCTTTTTGTGTCCAGTTGACTCCAGACCAGGAGAAGCAGCATGGCAGAGTGAAGTTTCTTGTGTGGTTGTGGCCACCACATCTTATCAGACATCCATTTTCCGGGCTGTTTCCACCAGGCACTCACATTGGGAGAAAGAAAATGAGTCTAGTTTCTTGGCACAGTCTAGACTTTGGCGTAACCAGCAATTAGACTGAATAGTTAGTGCGACCAGGGTTGGAAAGGCTGGTGCAAAGGGGCGCAGGTCTGTGTCTGGCCTGCTGGAAGGACAGTCCGGGTTGGTGAGAGCAAGGTGTAGTTTGAAGGAAGAGCGAGAGTGGAAGACCACAGGGAGAATGGGGTGAGGTAAGGCCATCTCCACTCAGCTGCCCACGTGGCATTCTTGAAGGGGAAGGCTGGAAAGAAGTGTTTCTAAGGGACTATTGGACAAGGTTTAAAGGTCAAAAAGGAATGTATCGGTGAAAATTGGGGTTTCTGTTTTGTTTTTTCAATGGGAGTCTTACTCTGTTGCCCTAGGTACAGTGCTGTGGCATCATACTTGACAGCAACATTTAACTCTTGGGCTTAAGAGTTCCTCCTGGCTCAGCCTCCTGCCTCCTGCTTCAGCTGGGACTATAATTTAGAAAGGACAATGATGTTTTACCATCCGCTCAACCAAAGCCCAGAGAAGGAAAACAGGAGTCTGACTGGCAAGTAAAGCGTCTCACCAGTTGCCGGCTGGTAGGAGTTCCAGTCCTCCTCAAATGTGGCATTCAGGAGATCAGAGGGGCTTTGAGATCTGGCCTGATGGGGCAAACAATAGGGGTGAGGGGAAATGTGCCTTCCACTCTCCCCCAAACTCTACTCAATGAAAGACACACAATTAGAGTAGCTTGCCAGGCTCAGGGGCTGACGCATATAATCCCAGTATTCTGGGAGGCCAAGTTCAGCGGATCTCTTGAGTTTAGGAGCTCAAGACCAAGACCCTATTTCTGCTAAAAATAGAAAAATTAGCTGGGCATTGCGCTGGGGACCTGTAGTCCAGCTTCTTGGGAGGCTGAGGCAGGAGAATTGCCTGAAACCGAGAGTTTGAGGTTGCTGTGAACTCTGATACCCCGTCATTCAAGCCAGGGACAACAGAATGACAATCTGTGTCATACAAAAAATAAAGGCAGATTAATAAGGGAAAAGGTTTATTTACCACACACATGGGGAGAAATCAGAGTAATAACCCAGTTTTCCAGTGAAGTTCAGATATATTTCTACATGCCTTTTGGAGGGCAGGGGCAATTTGAGGAGTATCAGGTGATAAACTCAAGGCTGGCTGGGGAGAATGAATGGGCGTGGTAAACAGAGAGACAGGTATTATGTTATACATGAATTGGGCCAGTCTGCCTGCATTCTTGACCATCAATGCTGCAATACATCGGGGTGACCAGAAGGGGAACGGAAGTCATTTGTCCCCTTCGATCTTGTGCTAAGGTTTATGCAGATAGAGGGAAAGCCCCTTGAATGGCCTTGCATTCAAAATCTTCTCTATACCAGGAGTCCTATTTTGGGATGAAATTTCCTGAAGACCCTACAGGGACAGGGAAAGAATCTTTCTAGTAAATAATTTACAAAAGCTGTTCAGGGTCTGTTGCCAGGCGTTGGACAGAACAAACAAAATGTTTTTAGAGGTCTTGAACATTCTGAGGCCAGTCCTTTAGGGGCGGGAGGGAGTCACCCTGGGGATGTAGCCTTGACCTGTTCAGAAATGATGTTAATATTTACATGTTTTAATTATGGTTGGATAATTTCAACAGGAGTGGATGAAAGGATTTGTGCTGAGAGAGTGAAATTTCTTGCTTGTCTTTACTTTTTTATTTTTGAGACAGTTTTCACTGTGTTGCCAAGACCAAAGAGCAGTGAGGTGTGTTATAGCTCACTGGAGCTCCAAGTTCTGGGCTGAGGCCATCCTCATGTTACTGAGGTCCTTGGTCATTGTCCCCATGGTCAAATGAAGACAGAGGAGACGTGGTTTTAGGAGAAGGAAAGAGAAGTTTCTCAGTTTGCTGGCAAATGAGGAGGACGGCAAACTCTCACCCTCAAATACTGTCCTCCTCCCTTTCAGCAGACATACAGGGCTCCAGTGGTGCTGTCCAGCCTTGGGCTATTCCTGTTTAGCCATCGTATCTCTGGTGAAGACAATCTCGTCATCTCTGCTTGGACAATTCTGTTGAGTCCCGTTTTGTGATACAAAGGGGAAAGGACATTCTCCTGTCCCTCTCCAGTGGCATCCTTTTTAATCTACATGGCATCGATAACGTTGCTGTTCCCTAAACATTTCATTTTAGCACCAAGTTCCCCCACCGCAGCATGAGGAAGCCTGTGCAATATAGCAGGGGCCCCTGTGTGTCCCCCCCCCCCACTGTCACACCTGACTTGTCTGCTCCTCTCTGTGTATTTTAGTGGAAGATGCGAATGCTGCGGGGCTCATCCCACTTCGTCCTTCCATAAATCTGTCCACCCAGGAGACTGAGCAGTTCTCCCACCTCGGTCTTTGACACCTCAGTGTTTCATGCAGTTGTCCACTCGTGGTTCCCACGTTGCCAGTGGTTGTTTCCCCTGATGAGCGGGGCTGCCCTTCCCTTGGTTGTGCTGTGCACGTCTCCCTACATTGGGCCAAATCCTGCTATGTGCACGGTATATAAATTGTCTGCTTTTGTGTCACCCAGTGGCAGATGTGCGAAAGTGAAGCAGGCTGTGTGGGGCTACACAAATGAAGATATTTACTGTCAGACTCTTCCTTTACTTTCTACCTTTGCTGTCCCCTGAGTTCAACTGTCCCTTGCCTTGACCTAACTTTCAGTCTGATTGCACTGCTGAGAAAGACCTGGGTCACCATGGAAACACTTGATACAAAGGACATCTATAAGCAACCATGTTATTCATCTATTGACTTTTATTCCTCATTTCCAGCAATCACACGTTTTCCTCTCCCTACATCACGAGGGAAATCACAGAAGACTTCTGGGAATTAACTGGGTGAGCAGCCTACTCTATCCGTAGTACAGTAGCAAATGCCTGATAGGGACGTTTTCTTCTTTCCTGGTTTGTTTATGGACAGGAGTAACTTTGACAGTGTAAATGTGCTTTTCCATGTTCTGTTACTTTTGTTTTGTTTTTGAGACAAGCGTCTCATTCTGTTGCCCAGGCTAGAGTGCAGGCATCTGCCTATCTCACAGTAACCTCAAATTTCTGAGTTGCAGTGATCCTCCTGCTTCAGCCTCCCTATTAACTGGGACTGCAGGCATCTGCCTATCTTACAGCAACCTCAAATTTCTGGGTAGAAGTGATCTTCCTGCCTCAGCCTCCCTATTAACTGGGACTGCAGGCATCTGCCGCAATGCCTAGGAAATTTTTCTGTTTTCAGTAGAGACAGGGTCTTGCTTTGTTACTGAGCCCAAGGGATCCTCCCACTTTGGCCTCCCAGCATGCTAGGATTACAGGCATGAGTCACCAAGCCAGGGTTTAATCAGGACCAGGTACAATAGAGGGCACAAGGAGGGAGCTGTGAGTCCAGGTCACCACTGCACAACTTTCTTCTCTGAAACGAACTGTCCATGAGGCCCCTCAGCATCTGGGGGCAAAATGGCCAAGTACACAGGGGTCTCTGCTCCCTCTTCTGGACTTTTGGGGGCCCTGGGACCACCCATGTCAGTTCTAACCCAACCCGGGGTACAGGCATTTAGGAGGATTCTGTCTCCTTTCCGCAGCTCACTGAGCTTCCTAGCAAGGATTCTGGACAAGACTATAACGCCTATCTTTGTCACTCCGTATGCAATACTGAACCTGATAATGATGTCCCCCAAGTCTGTATCATACATAGCGTCTGGCCAGCCCTCTTTCTGGTGCACATCCTTCTTGGTGTCTTCCACAAACTTGGTCATGAGCCCCACCAGCTCCTCCTCTGTGATGGTCTCGCTGTGTAATCTCTGCTGTAGTTCTGGGCTGCACCTTTGAAGAACTCTGAGGCTCTCCATGCTAGACACATTCACCACTCTGCCTGAAATACACCACAAATCATTATGTACAAAAGAAACACAAAATGGGCCATTGCAAAGGTGTTGGGATTTGGGGCTGTTAAATTTCATTTGAGAGACAACTAGCAGGAGGCCTTTTCAGAGGACTACACGGAGAGAGTGTGGCAGGTGCATGATAAACTCCATTCCTGCCTTCAAATGTTGATGAGTAGAACAGTGAGTTGACACTTAAAAGGGCTGCCCTTTTGAGGTCCTAATAAACCAGGGTCTTAGAATTGAAAGGACATTACAGGAGGACAGGACAATGGTTAGGGCTAGAGAGTCCATGGTCATCGTCAACTCTAGGCCACCAGTGTAATGTTTCTAAAAGTGACTGCATCAGTTCACAACTACAAAGATGTGGAACCAACCTCAGTGGCCACCAGCCATGACCAGATAAAGAAAATATTGTGTATACACAGAATACAATACTACCAGGCGCCGAGAAGAATGAGATATTGTCTTTTGCAGTAACCTGGTGGGACAGGATTGGAGGCTGTTAGTCTAAGGAGGTAACCCAGGAACCAAACACTACACACCACATGTCCTCACTTAGAAAGGGAGAGAAGCACTGGGTGTGCCCAGTGACATGGAGTGACTGAATGGACACTGGAGACTCACAACAGTGGTGTGAGATGAAAACCTCCTGGGTGCGTTGTACACTACTCAGGTTAACAATATATTATAAGTCTAGATAGACTCCTACTTTATGAAATTCAGACAAGTACCAAAACCCCTTGTACCCCTTTAGTCTTTTATTTTCTTTTGGAGTGGCTGCTTGTATTAATCACTGAGCATTTAATAGGTGGGTTCATCTTCTGTGCCATTAGTTGGGGTAAGCACTGAGGCAGTTTACAACCAAAGACACATGATAGTCATGCCCAGAACACTGAGCAGGTAGCTGGGGACTTAGAATGAGGCTGGAGTTGGCAGGTGGCAGATCATACACATCCCTATACACCAGGCCGGGGGCTTGGACTTTGCTCCTAAGTATTTTGGGAGGGGATTGACCAAGCACACAGGATGCTGGGAAAGGAAGAGACCCAGACAGGAGGCCCCTTAGGGGGGTCTGAGGGTGTCCAGGAGGGCAGCTGGGGGCTGCTGGGGAGCTGGTGTTAGGTAGGCTCAGGATAAACTCCATGGGCACAACTCCTGGGACCTGGTAAGTGAAGATCAGGGGGCAGGACACGGTGACCTACAGGACCCTGGAGGGTGGATGGTGCTGTAAGTGGCTGATGGTTCAGGGAGAAATGTGAGCACCCTCTGGACATATCTCTTTATACATGAAGGGGCGTCTCTGGGAGTGTTCTAGGCAGGTGGCCCATCTTGGAAGCTGAACTGGTGGTAGTGGAGGCTCCACCAGCCCGAATAAGATGACTGTGAGAGAGCAGAGAAGGGGCAGGATGAGATCCTACTGACGGGCCGCGTGTGAGGGCCACGGAGCCAAGAAAGAGCCTGTGAGAGGACACATTTGGGCTGAGACCTGAGATAAGAAGGAGCCAAGTGAGGCAGGACGAGAGGGACAGAGAGCACCAAAGGCCCCTACAGAAGTGACCACCAAGTCCTGCCGGAAAACTGCACTGGGCAGGGTGGGGACACAGTGAGCAGCCGGGTGCACCTGCAGGGTGGGGAGAAGCAGGGCCTGCAGGGAGAGCCAGGCAGGCAGGGGCAGCATCCCGGTGCAGAGACGGGGTGTGCTGCTCCCATCACACTCACCTTGGGGTCTCACTAGAGGCAGTAACTCTGTGCAGACGTCGCGGGTGCCGAAAAAGTTCGTCTTCATGGTCATGTGCGCTTGAACATGGAAGGGCGTGGGGTCACTAGCTTTTAGGGGAGAAGGAGAGCAGAGGTAAATTAGCCTTGGGGCTAAATTCCATAGGATGAGAGCAATACACCCCGCAAAAAATAAAGCGTGTCAGGATTCTGGTGAATTGGGCCCTGGAGTGTGGGTGGCCCCGTCGCAGTATATGGCCCAGGCCAATCCCCTGGTTTGAGAACGTTCCTCTCGGTACTTCTGACAGGTGGTTCCACTGGTGAGGGTGGGTGAAACGTGAGGGCTGCATCTCCCGTGTCTATTTTTATTTTCTTTGTTAATGTTTTATCTGTCAGTCTAAAGTTCTTCCATACTGTCTAATTTCAGAAACCCTGGACAAGAAACCCAGGGTATCGAAAGTTTCTGAAACTCTAATTTCAGAAATTTTGGATACCCTGAACAAGATCCCCAGGTTTCTGAGCCAGGGCACCACCAAGTTCCCGTCCTCCGAAGGACCCTTCCCCTCCTGAGAACTCTGCCTCTCCTGGCAGCTCCTGCCCTCCCTGTGCCCCCGGGAGCCTGTCAGGAACCTCCAGGGCCGGGTCCCCACAGCGCTTCTCTGAGGGGCGCACCCTCCTGGCAGAGGGTCTACCCCGGGTCACCTCCCCTCTGACCACAGCATTGACTTACGCTGAAAAACTATACCCGCGTTGTTGACCAGCACGTCCAGGCCCCCGTACTCCCTGCGCAGGAAGTCGCGCAGGGCGCGGATGCTCTGCGGGTCGTCGATGTCCAGCTGGTGGAAGCGCGGGCTCAGGCCCTCGGCCTGCAGCTGCTGCACGGCCGCCTGGCCCCGCGCCGGGTCCCGCGCCGTGAGCACCACGTCCCCCGAGAAGTGGCGGCACAGGTCCCGCACGATGGCCAAGCCGATGCCCTTGTTGGCCCCGGTCACCAGCGCCACGCGGCTGCCGGACGACATGGCAGAGCGGAGCGCGCAGGTCACCTGCGTGGAGAACCCGCGGAGCCTCTGACCACCCGGAGCAGGACTAGAGGCAGAGCAGCCTGGCAGAGGAACTTGTGGGATCCAAGGTACCGAGTGCCAGGAAACAGGGTCGAAGCCTCGGTCCCTCCCCTGGGAGGAGGGGCCATCTGTTCCCGCAGGTTTCTTAACGCCCAGCTCCGGGGTTCGCCCTCGGCCGGAGCTGAGCTGTCTTGGATCCAGGGTCTGGGCCCAGGGAGCGCTGCTCTCCCAGAACCTACCCAGGTGAAGGGTCAGTGGAGGGCTCCAGATTCACGGCATAGGGACGGGGGAAATGGAGCTACAAGCCTACAGGGAGGAAGCCGAGCGCTGAGAAATTGTGTGCGGCGTGCGCGCATGGTCCACTGCGCGTAGACCCCTTCCCTGGCTCAGGAGAATTTCAGCATCGGGTGTCCAGTGGGCGACTTAACAGGTGTGTTCAGGCTGCAGGGCCCTGATTCCCAGTCCGCCCCCCGGCGGTAGGAAATGTGTACTGCGGGACACAACCTTCAAAGGGAATTTTTTTACTTATTTACTTATTTATTTATTTATTTATTTATTTTGAGACAGCCTGTCATTTCGTCGCCCTAGGTAGGGTGCTGTGGCGTCACAGCTCTCCGCAACCTCCAAATCCTGGGCTTAGGTGATTCTCTTGCTTCAGTCTCGCGAGCTGGGACTACAGGCGCCCGCGACAACGCATGGCTATTTTTTTGTTGCAATTTCGAGCCCTCCACCCTTGGCATATGGGGCCAGTGCCCTACTCACTGTAGCACAGGCACTTCCCTTCAATGTGAATTTTCAATTTAATCCTTCATTAAGTTCTATAATGGAAAAGTATCTGCATTTAGGTTCGTCCAGGAAGATGGATATGCGTAGGGCTCTAGATTGATGTATCTTTTCCTAGTGATTTCCGTGTCCCCAGGACAAACTCCAACTGCAACAAAGTCCCAAAGGTGGGTCTGGGTGTGGGCTTAAAATCAGCTCTCCATCCCTGTTCAGAGTGTTGGATGAGTGACTCTGAGATTTGGGATCTTGTCATGACTCAGCTTTTCCACGGTGCTTGTGTCTCTGCTACCCTGAGCCTACCTTCTCTCCCAAGTCTGACCTGAGGTCAGGAAGGGGGGCCCTGCTGTGATGTCTGCCCGCCTCTCAGAGGTATTGTGTTCTTTCCCCTAAAGATGATTTAGAATCCTGTCTCAGGATAGGAGGCTGTACAGTCTTCCCTTGTTTTCCTGAGCGAGGTGGATTTGCTTTTCAAAATACATATTTCCTCTCAGTTGCTGATCCTGTTGGCACAAGTGTATGTGGCATCCCCTTATTATCCTGTTAATATTGGGAATGACACTCGATCCTTTCTGACCAGCATTAGTAGTTTGTGTTGTGTATTTTCTTGCTGATTTGTCTGGGCCTCCCATTGACTTCAGTGTGGTGTACAAGCATCCGCATATCTGTGCTAGAGATGAGGAAAACTGGGACATATGACATCGGACAATGGAGGACTGACAAGAGACTCCAACAGCCTTATGACCATCCTTACTGCAAGGATTGAACACTCACCTGACAGGGTGCTGTGCAGCGGGAAAGAGAATGAGGCAGCGGTGAGCAGAGCGAGGGGCAGAGGCTTCAGTGTGTTATGCTACGCAGTGTTTGCTTACTGCTCCCATCATAACCTAAGGCAATTGTTTTTTACATGAAATACATGGTTGAGGCATCTAAGGACTGTAGTTGGGACAGAATTACAAGAGTGCTAGAGTAGGGACCCCCAAGTTTGGGCAGAGGTGTCCTTTAATTGGAAGCAGAAAGATCAGGGGCAACTTACCAACCAGGGAGCTGTGTTAACATCAGTGACTGACATTTATTCAGTGCTTACCAACCAGCTGTGCCGCTTACAGAGACGTTCGTGCAGATTCTCCTTTACTCCTTCCATGAGCTGGTCCTATCATAACACCCATCTTTCAAAGGAGAAGCAGCCCTCAAATGTCATGAGATTGTAAAGAAATCAGTAGGACCGAGAGCGCCTGTGCGCTGAAGCCCGCCTATCCCTCCTCCATACTGGGGTCCAGATAAATGAACCCATAGGCAGAGTGAAAATCCTGAGACCAGGATACACCAAGAAAGACAGAGGGGCGCCATCTGGTGACCATCTTGGTGATTAGCAGTAAGCTGGAACCCAGATATCTTAAAGTTACTTAGTACTGTATTTCAGATAGTAAATGAATGCATTGTAATTTAATAGCTTTACAATTACTTCACTCAACTAAAAACATGCATACTGATTGAAAACCAGTGAGAAGTCGGCCTCCCTATATCCCTCAGCCACTCAGCTCTGCCCAGAAGCAACTGGGCTTATCACTTTACGTGCCCTTCCAGAGACAGTCTGCTTAAACAAATATTTAAACATATAGCCGCATACCGCGGTGGACAGAACAACGCCACCTTGCCAAGGTACCCATAGTCTTTGGCACTTGTGCAATGTTCCCTGATATGCCCAGAGGGACTTGGCAGCTGTGATGAAGGTTTAGGGCCTGGGTTACCCAGTGAGCCCACTGTGCTCACGCAAACCCTGAAAGCTGAGAATTTCTCTTGCCTGAAGTCAGAGGAGACGTGATGATGGGTTATGGAGATGCAAAGATGCTGGGTTTGATGCTAGAGGAAGTCCAGGAATGCAGGGGGCAAGAAAAGGACACTCCCTCCCTCCCCCTTGGCCCCCAGAAAAGCAGGTGGCCCTGCTCACATCTGCATTTTAGACCAGAAAGGCCCCTGGCAGACTTCCTCCCCCAGAATTCTAAGATGATAAATTTTCATTTTAAGCCCCATATTTAGGACCACTTGCTCCCGCAGCGAGAGAAAACTACTGAACACTGCATGATATAACATACTGAAGCCTCTGGCCCTTACTCTGTGTCAAGTAAAGGTAAGGTATATGAAAAATCTATAGGTCTTGGGAGGGCATCTCTAAGGCAATGCCTCAGGTTATGATGGGATCAGTAAACTCATTTTTGGTGAAAGCCAAGCTGGCACCACACAGAAGGGCATTTCCTCAAAAGATGCTCAGTGTTTTTCAATCAGCTGAAAAGTCCAGGTGTCAGGACCTGAAATTAAAGCAGAAACAAAGGTAAAGCTGTAGAAAGTGTTCACCCAAATGCTACTCCACCCTTTCCTTTGGGACTGTTGTCAGTTTGGGGCTGAGAGTCCACTGATCATTATTATAGTCCATCTTCTCTTTCATCATCCAGCTTCCCTGGTATGATTCCAGCTAAATGCGATTATTTCCTTCCCATAGTAAATCTTTTTTTTTTTAATTTTTTATAGCATAACTATGTACATTAATGCCATCATGGGGTACAGTGTGCTGTTTTCATATATATTGTGAAATACTCTCATCAAACTGGTTAACATAACCTTCATGTCATTTTCTTAGTTATTGAGTTAAGACATTCGTACTCTGCTTTTAGAAAGATTCACTTGTACCCCTGTAAGTTAAACCATAGAGGTGACCCCACCAGTCACCCTCCCTCCCCTCATCCATCCCCCTCGCCTCCCCTCTCCCACCCCCTTCCCATATTCTAAGGTTATAATTAGGTTATGACATTCCTATGAAAGCTATGAGTTAGTTTCAAAATAGGGCTGTGTACATTGGATACTTTTTCTTCCATTCTTGAGATACTT